TTGGTTCAGTCCTGGACTCCAGCCCATGGGATGGCACCACCCATACTGCCCATAGTAACGGGGGGTTCTCTATCCTCAGGTAATCATCTCTAAATGCACTCAGACATGCCTAGAAGTGATCATAATTTCATTTATAAAGATCAACCATAAGAAAATGCATTAATGACATGAATTTTCCTCATTTGGGCACATCCACAATCAACTGGAAAATCAAATAAGGTGCAGAAAATCAAATAAAGTATTTGAGGTTTATAATGAAATTTAGGGGCTGATGAGCTGACCCAGAGTAAAGGCACTTGCTGTTTTAAAGCCTGGACACCTGAGTTTGATCCTTGGAACTTGTGTGAAGAAGGAAGGGGAGGAACAATTTCACAAAGTTGCCCTCTGACTTCCACTTTCATGCCAGAACCTTCACTCCAACACATGTATGTCATGTATACACCAAAACACACTTTTTAATTTCCAAATACAAATGAAGTTTAGCTAGGCACAGTCAGAGGTATGGTTACTTGTGGCTTCTGGTGGCCGAAGCACAGTTACAGAGGAATGGAGGACATGTGGGGCAACTAAGATGATGCCTCTGAGACAGCCTTAGAGTTTCTCACTTCTGTATACAGATAACAATGTGCTATAGAGGCACAGGAGTAGCTGACTGAAGTCTTGTGGGGGTCGGCCCCACAAGTGAATGCAGAAAGACAAGGCAAAGTATCGCTTTTGGTCAGATGTCCTAAAGAAATGCCCCCCCCTCAGAAGATGCCAGAATACAGCAAGAGAAGACCAAATGCCCTGCCCACTGCTTCTCTGTCTATCTGTATTCTCATATTAAGGCATCCCAAGAGCTGGGAACAAAGGAATTCTCTTCAGTTTACTAAGATTATTCTAAACATATTGGCAGACTGTAAGTTGATTCAGATTTAGTATTTGCTTAAAACAGAACTAATTGTGGTTATCCTAGCGTCTGCAGTTCGCAGTGTGGAAAATGGATCGTTTTTAGATTGTTCATCTTTAACACACATTTGCTGCAATGCCTATAACGTGAGAAACATCATGTCAAATGCGTCGCATTGTAGATGAACAAGAAGAGCTCAATAAAGAAACGTGTCAATCTACAATGGCACATGAGGTGCTTGGCACAGACAAGGATTGTAGAGACTGAAAAGGGAAATGATCACTTTAAATGCTGCATGAAGAAACTTCGCTGAAAAGGAGGCATGATTTGTCTGATTCATAATATACAAATGTTCATACCCATAAGGGGAAAACTAGATGATTTTCTAAGGGGTGAACCTCCATGGAACTGGAAGTGTAAGGGATGCTGATGGCATGCCTAGAGGAAAATAAGTACATCATTTCAAATAATGTAGACTGGCAATGCAGAACAGTGTGAAATAATGCTACTGCACAGCCAAAGAAGATCCCATCAACCTGGGAAATTACTAGCTACAAGGACAAAGCAAAAGAAAGATAGATTATAATACATGAATCCACCTTTCAGTCTGAGGACTTCCAGGATTATGATATTAATGACAGAAGTAAGGAAATCAATACAAACTAGTTTCCAATAAAATAAATGAGTGTGAAATGCCAATTTGATTTTTCAAGCTATATTTCTATTGCTGTGATTAAATAAGTAAATAATATAAAACCCATGACCAAGGCAATTTATGGAAGGAAGGGTTTATTCTGATTTATAGTTCCAGAGGGCTAAGAGTCCATCACTATCATAGCTGGAAAGAGTGGCACCAGGCAGGAATGGCAGCAGGCTGAGAACTCATATCTGGAACTGTGTGCAGGAAGCAGAGAGCACACTGGAAATGCTAGGAGTCTTTGAATTCACAAAGCTCACAGCAGTGACATAATTCCTTTGTTATATGTTAATAAACCTTAGTTCTAGTTCTTATAGACTCTAATAAACTGGTTACTGCTATAAACCCTCATTTTAAAAGATGAGGAAACAAGCATGCAAAGGATGAATTACTCACTAAATATCCCTATCTGAAATGGATGGAATTAAATAATGAATTTAAATAGCCAAAGCAGAAGTAATATGCTCTTACTCACTGGCCTATAGTTCTTTCAGGACAATGGAAGGAACTAAAAGGTATGGCTTTCCTTTTACTAGAGAGAAAAAATAAAGGAAGATGGATAAGGCAGCCCACAACAAGATGAAATCAAAACGTGTGAACCTCATCATATGATGTGATGTGACCTCATTATGAACTTCTGGTTAGAAAGTAGGAAATGGGGGAAGGGACTAGAGTCTGAATTAAGATACAAAGAGTTTGGTGGAAATTTAGAAGAATGTGCTGCAACTTTAACAAAAGAATGAAAGCTTGCTGAACCCCACAGTCCCAGTTGGTGAGAAACCTGCATACTGAACAATCAGCATGCATTCCCAGAAAGTTCTTCAGAAGAAAGTGTGGGAAGATTCAGTTGTAGGTAAAGTTGTGAGGTCAAGCTGGGGAGTAACATTAGCACATTAGGAGAAAGTTCACTTACATGGCAAATTGTGGTTTACAACTCCAGATTGCAAGGGGGGATTTCAAATAAACAAGAAGTGTTGGTAATAGTAAAAAAATGACCCATAACTATGACATATTTCTAAACATACCTATAAAATTTATAATTTATATATTTTAACAGGAGAATTGGAATATATGACTTATCAGTTAAATCCTTCCTTTGACAAATACTGTCTTACTACAAGATGATTTTTTTTGGGGGGGGG